GGGGACTACGTGAGATGCCAGAGACTGAACCCTTTCAGCCTCACACAAGGCATGTACCTTACCCCTGAACTATCTCTGAATCCCTAGCAAAATTTTGGGGTGTTTTTTTAAGGGGGCCACACCAGATGATGCTCAGGGGTTAATCCTGATTCTGCACTCAGGAATTACTCCAGGCAGCGCTAGGGGGGCCCTATGTGATCCTGGGGATCAACCTGGGTTGGACGCATGCAAGACAAACACCCTCTCCACTGCACTATTTTTCCAGCAACCCCCTCCCAATTTTTATGCAGATTAAGTTTCCCTTAATCTGCATAAAAATCCAAGTAAAAATCAGCATATTTCTTTCCTTCAACCCCTTCACCCCCATCAAGAATCAGACACAGCGCTGAGCCACCCCAGGGGGGAAAGGGTGCTGTCCCTCCACCTGCTCCCCCTTGGGGTTCAGTGGCTTCCATCCTCCAGAGGCCATTGGACAGTCAGGTTTGGGCCTTCAGTGACAAGACACGCGGGGCTTCACGGGATGGAGGTGGAATCGGCCCTTTCCTCCCCATCCCAACAAGACCCCGAGTCACCACCCACAAACGGCCTCTCTGGCTCCTGATCAAGCTGCTTAACGGTCATGATCCCAGAGACTCAGGAACAAATCTCAGAACCCAGCAGATTCGACATAAATTCATCCAGATTTGTTAAAATTTCAGAATTTCAAAATTGCGTGGCCACTACTGCAGCCACATAATATCATATGTTATTCATAACCAGAAATAGAAAACAAATTGTCTACTGTTACCTTTTCGGCAGATCTGAGTGTTGGGATAAAATCCCAAATAATGGTGGGATTTAATGGTGTCAAAATATTGAATGTAATCAAAGTAGAGAGAGAGTAATGTGAAAATCATCTGCCCCACAGGTAGGGGGAGGGTGTGGGATGAGGGTATACTGGGGTTTTTGGTGGTGGAGAATGAGCACTGGTGAAGGTATGGGTGTTTCATTGTATGACCTAGACTTAAACCCGAAAGCTTTGTAACTGCTCTCACGGTGATTCAATAAATAAAATTATAAAAAAAAAAAAAGTAAGGTGGAGTTCATGCCTAATTCAATCAGCCTAATCAGTGGCTGAATAAAAAGCAGTACTCCTACATAAAAAAAAATAAAAGAAAGAAACAGACACACATGGGATTTCTACATTTTTATTCATTCCTCCAAAAAAGCACCACAGCTAAACACACCCCAATCTATCCTTCATGGTTTTCCATTCTGGTGGGCACATGCCCCTCCAACACTGACCAGAAATATAAGAAACTCAGACTGTAGGGTTGTCTTGCTCATTTTGCTGCTAGTTCTGCATTGGGTGACAGAAATGCCAAGATTCATCACAGTGCCTTGGATTCTCACCTTCCACGTCCATAAGCTGGAGGACAACACCAGTACTCCTTGCCAAGTAACAAGACCCCATCCCCACTGCCAGACAGCCTCAAGGGCTCACAGAGACAGTCACATGCAATCCATACCACCAGAAACTAAACCTCCACACCCCTCCCCACCTCACACACACACTGAAAGGCATGGTTCTGTTTTTTTTTTTTTTTTTTTGGTGGGGGGGACCTGGGATCTGCTTCTGGTGATACTCAGCCAACCAGGCTGGTGAGTCTGATGCCAGGACCTACAGTACAGGCACTACAGTACTGCTCAGGCTCCATGGTACTGGGGATCACCAGGGCCACTCTGGGCAGTGCTCAGCAGGGGCCTGCAGTCTGGAATCAAACTTTAGTCTTTGCCCATGCAAGGCATGCACCCCTGAACTATCTTTCTGGTTCCCCCCCACCACACACACACACAGGCAGGATTTTAAGAGGCAGCCTCAGGACCAATGACAACATGGCTCCCAGGGTTGGAGCCCAAGCTCTGCACACCAGAGCCGCAGACTGGGAGCAACCCCTAGCATCATGGACTGTGGCTAAGGAAAATAAAGGGAACCACCCTGGAAAGCCATGACCCAAAATCTATTCTTATGTCAACCCCATTAGTACACACCATCAGACTGACACAAAAAATTGGGTCTGGCTTCTCATGCCGTCTCTGGCATGATTCTCATGTGGCATTTGTGGGGCAAAGCAGAGATGGCCAACAGGACTGAGGAGAGACAGGGGAGTGAGAGTGGGGTGCGCAGACCACCTTGGTGTTGCTTGGGGCTGAGGGCATGGAGTCAGGGCCATCAGGGGGATGCTGGAGCCTCCCTGTACTGTGCTATACAGGCTGCTGAAGTGTGTATGAGTGGGAATCCAGGCAGTCATACACCCGGACCCATGCTACAGAACCCTGTGGCGGAGATGCCAGGGGTTAACTAATTTGTACAAGGCCACGCCCCTAGAGAGACACAGTCACATTTCTCATGAAAATGGAAGTGTGGACAGGAGACTACATTTGAGATCACATTTACTTTCATTAAAAACAGGTACTCAGGGGCTGGAGTGATACCACAGCAGGTAGGGTGTTTGCCTTGCATGTGGCCAACCCGGGTTCGATTCCCAACATCCCATATGGTCCCCAGAACACTGCCAGGAGTAATTCCTGAGTGCAGAGCCAGAAGTAACCCCTGTGCATGGCCAGGTGTGACCCCCCCCCAAAAAAAACAACTAATACTCAGGGGGCTGGAGCAATAGCAAAGGAGGTAGGGCATCCCTTTCATATAGCTGACCTGGGTTTGATCCCTGGATCCCATATGCTCTCCTGAGCACTGTCAGGTATAAAACCTGACTGCAGAGGCAAGAGTAGCCCCTGAGCATTGTCAGGTATGACTCATAAACAAAACAAAACAAAACAAAACAAAACAAACTGATACTCAGGGCGGGAGGGAACTCAACTGATGGAGTATGTGCTTGGTATATGAGGCCCGGGCTTGATCTCTTGCACCCCATGGTTACCCAAGTACCAGCAGGTGTGCCCCAAAACTGAGAAAAAAAAGAAAAAACCAATTGATATTCAAGTCACTGGAAAACTATTCCATGTAACTGGAACAATGAGATTCCTAAATGTACAATTTAGGGGGGGGGGGGGGTTGAGGCCATACCAAGTAGTGCTCAAGGATCACTCCTGGCTCTGCACTTACACTGGAGGACCCTATGAGGTGCCTGGCGGGGATTGAACCGGGTCAGTTGCATACAAGGCATGTGGAAGACAAGCACCCTGCCTTCAAGCCAACAGGTCTTTGGAGTTTTTGTCCAGCCCTTTCACCTCACCAGTGAGGAAGTAAGGCACCGGTAAGTCCCCACCGCAAACAGTGGTGTTCTCCCCAACTTTGCTCCTTGACCCCTGGCAGAAGGTCACGAAAGGCATCTCCAGCTTTAGTTCTGCCTGTGATGGGACCCCTCAAAGTACTGAATATCTAAGCACCATTCTAGGCACGTTATTACCAGCAGAGAAGAGGCAGGCAAGGGGCTAATAGCAGCTCAACTGGCAAATAAATAAATAAATAAATTCATTTCCACAGTAACAATAACCACCACAAGGGCCATCACCTGGGGTGGAGGGATTAAGGGGTGTGTGAGTGGGATGGTCATGGCAGGCCTGGGGCGAGGGAGAGGCTCTGAGCTCAGATCTGATTAGACAAGGAGGAACCAGCGAGGAGGAGACCTCCTGGGAGCCAAGCCTTCTGGATGGAAGGGGCAAGTGCCAAGTTCCGGAGCCCATCCCATGCGGGCGGCCATGTGAACATCACTTAGGCTAGTTAGGAAAGGAAGTGAAGCCGGAATGAGACAAATCCAGAATAAGAGAAGTCCAGGCCTTCCTGAGAACTGCTGGACCCCAAGCCCACCAACTCTGGGTTTTGTCCTCCCATCCCCTCCAGCTCTGTTACACCAATCAGGAGCTACTAAGGTCCTACTTCCTGTTCCCCAGCAGCAGGCAACCAGGCATGCTGCAGACACTGGGGTTACATGCCCACAGTCTGGAACACCTTGTCCTGCCATTCTGTGGGCGCTCACTGCAACATATCCCATATTCCAGGAAGCAGCAGAGACCTGACAGGGTCAGTTAGGAAACACCTGGATTCTCCAAAAACACAAAGCCACTGCAGGCCCTGACTGGAGATGGTTGCAGTAGAAGTACCGAAGAAATCAAGACCAAACCAAAGCCAAGGAGTCTTCAAGGGGGAGGGGGGGGAAAGAGGAAGAGGGAGAAAAAGAGAGGAGGGGGGGAGGGAGAGAGAAAGAGAGAGAGAGAGAGAGAGAGAGAGAGAGAGAGAGAGAGAGGGGTGCCAACTCCCCAGAGAGCCCCAGAATCACCTAGCATGGCCAAGCTAAGGCAGCCACAGATCCTTCAGGTGGAGCTCATAGGACAGAGATTCAATCAGGATCCAAGGGGGAGGGGTTGGCAGATGGCCCCAGGTAGGAGCTCTTAAACCTCCACCCAGGCCTACAGCTGGGGCCTCCTTCCCTGTTCTTTGGGGGCACCATTCTCCTGGAGAGCTGGCCCCTAGGAGCCAATGTCCAATAGCCCTTGACTCCACAAGCTATCAGCTAGTCTACTGACTCTTTCCCCCTGCCCATACTCGTCTCTACAAAAAAGCACCCCCCCCCCCCCCCGCAAGCCCCCAACCCCATGAAGACACAAAGCCCTCTGGGAACTGGGGAGTCCAGAAGTCTCTTCCAGGAGACAGGGTCACTAGATTCCTTTGTGGCTCATCAGTCCAAGCGTTCCCGCCTCTCTCCCCACCGGCGTCATTTCTAGCCCCTTAGTAAGCAAGAAACGTCCTCTTGGAGGGAGCCAAGTCCAGTTCCCTTAAGAAAGCAAGTCTGCGTGTCACACTCCAGAGAAATCAGGAGAACCGATCCCCAGACTCATGCCCCTTGGGATGGAGGAGCCTAGAGCTCCTGGCACATCAGAGCCCTCACCAGCTCCTACCATAGGGATTCAGAGTGGTGCCCCTGCCGTAAACCCAGAGGTCCCCGCCATCCCAGACCTGGGCCTGGACCCCAGCCCCCCTCCCTCTAACCCGGGCTTGGAGTGCTCTGACGCTGGCAGGGACAAGCATCCTCACTGTGGGGAACCCCGGACGGCCAGCACGGCCTCGGCGTCGGCCAGCATCTCCTCGAGCGCCTGCAGCAGGACACCGTGTGCTGCGCGGTAGCCCAGGCCGCCCGTGGCCGCCGCGCCTCCCGCGGGCCAGAGGAAGGAGAGGGCGCCCAGTGCCGCGCCCCCCGCTGTGCCCTCGCCTGCCCAAGCACCCAGGCGTGCCTCCACCTCAGCGCGTGTCACGGGGCCTGGGAAGCGCGTGTGCTCCGCCAGCGCCCCGGGGGCCAGGCCCAGTGCACGCTCCCGGCGGGCCAAGGCCGCCGGTTCGAGCCCCAGAGCCCGGCGCCACTCAGCCAGCTGACCCCGCAGGAGTGCCACATCGCACGCCCAGCCGAGCCCGGGGACTGGGGCAGCCGCCGCTGCCAGGCTGGCCAGTAGCGCCGGCCGCCACGCTCCGGCTCGCAGTGCCGCCACCTTCTTTTGGGCGGCGCGGGGAGAAGTGGGGGGCAGCGCCAGGAGCAGGGCCCCCGCCTGGGCCGCGGGGAGCACGCGTTGCAGCCACTCGCAGAGCTCGGGGAGCCCACCCGGTCTCAGGGGGTACACTGGCGGTGGTGCCTCCTCCAGCACCTCCCACGCCTCATCCTCTGGGCTCAAGGCAGCTGGGCAGTCGGTGTCCCCGCTGCCTGATTTCTTCGTGGCCATACCAACCTGCTGCCCGCTCCCACCACCTGCTTTCTGGCATCCTGGGCTACACGCCTCCGCACCCTCTCCACCAGCTTTCTCCAGTTCCCCTCCGCCTGAGTTCTCTAAACTCTCGCTGATGGGCTTCTCCACCTTTCCTTCTTCGAGCAACTCTGGATTCTCACCCTTGCCATCTGTTCTCACGCAGGCCAGGGGCGCGTCTGGTAGCACCAAGGGTCGGACGGGCGCCCAGTCCTTCTCAGTGGGGGCCTCAGGGGTGACCAGGATGAGGGCATCATAGTGAGCCGGGTGGGAGGCAGTGGCAGTGCTCATGGAGCCTAGCGGCACAGCCCAGAACACCACATTGGGGCGCTCGGGGGCCGGGTATGACGTGGGCCCCGCAGGCTCTGAAGAAGGCGCTGCCCCAGGATCATCAGGATCCAGCCCCAATAACGTGTCCAGCACAAGGTTCACACCCGAAGTGCCGGCCACAGCGACGTCCAACCGTGCACTACCTAGTCGCTCCAGGCCAGCACGAACCCACGACAGTGCCGCCTCCAGGCCGCCAGTCTCGAAGGCTTCTCGAACAGCCTCTAATTCTGCGGCACCCAGCACCTCAAAACCATCCTGAGCCGGTGGCAGGAGTCTGCAAGGGACAGAAAGTGCAGGGTCAAAAACCAGAGACCAGTCCTTGAGAGACCCTGAGAGATTGGCGCCAGGTCCAGAAATGCACTAGGGTGACAAGGGCAGACTGTTCCGAATGATTCCTGAGTGAGACAGGAACCGGAAAGGGGCTGTCTTAATTGATGGCACAGCCGACAGAAACCAGGACTTTGAGAAGAAAAGTGAAGGGCTGAAGCAGGTTCAGGACAAGGGCTTTCCAACCATCTTAAACAGGGGCCTGGATAAGTCCTCCCCAATCTTAGAGAAGGTTTTTCTGCAGGAGCTCACAGACCTCAAAGAACAGTTCAGGGGGGCTGGGAAGATTGCAAATACCTGCAGGAATGCCTGATGAAGGAGACCCTGATTCTATCCCTCCTGCCACTGTTTGGACCCCCAAGCAGGGCCGGGAGTAGACTCTGAACCCTGCTGGGTGTAGCCCCCCACCCACAAAAGTGTTTAGGGCCGTGAGGTCGCGCTAGTCTACAGGACCAGGCCGCCCAGACCCATTCAGAAACTCCGTGCTCACCTCTGTAACGCCTCTGCCTGGCTCTCTAGCGCCGCCCGCAGGCGCTCCAGCTCCTCGCAGTCGTCACGGCCACCGCAGTCAGCGGGCAGCACGAATAAGGGAGCCGCTCCCAGCCCCGCGCCGGCCAGCAGGGTCTCTGTCTGCTCCCGGGCCTGGGGTTCATTCTGTGCGTCTCCAGGGCGGAGATTGCGCACCGCCAGCAGCGGTGTCCCCCGAGCCAGGGCGGTCCGCGCTGCTTCCCCCAGCGCGGGGGCTAGAGGCTCTGCGTGAGCCTCGGGCCCAGGCAGCACCAGCACCAGAACGTCGGCCTCGGCAGCCCAGGGTCCCGGCGCCGCGGGAGGGCAACTCAGCTCGCCCAAGAAGAGGCCTGGGCCGGCGGCGCGCAAACTGGGGATCTTGGACTCGGGCCGTCCCTCGGGGATGTCGATGGTTTCCACACCCTTGTCGCAGAGCGCGGCAATCAGTGAAGACTTTCCCGAGCCCGGAGGCCCCAGGAACAAGGCGGTCACGTCACCCCGCGGCGGAGGCATAGCTGGAAAGCAAGGCAGAGGTGCAAGAGATCTGGGTCAGGGGGCATCTAGCCTTTTTTTTTTTCTCACCGCCACTCAGGTCTCAGACCTCTGTCCTCGCATTGTCCCGTTCTTCCCTTCTCGTGTGTCTCTCCAGAGGACCTAGAAATCTGGCGACCAAGGAATCCTGCCCACCCGTTCCAGGTGCGATTCCCTTTCTGCCTCAAAAACTCCGACATCAGATCTCCAGTGCCCTCCTCCCCCAGGGGACACAGATGTTCCTCCTCCTCCCGTCCTCCCTTCCAATTCACCAACCGAACAAAACAGCAGAGCGAGGCAAGGCCCACCCTGGGGTCCCGGAAACAGGCAGAAGAGGCTAGAGCTGGGATAGGGGGGCTGTCGATCGGGCACGTTCCGAGGGCTCTAACCTGACGTCACGGCTCCGAGGGGTGTGTCTTGGGAGCGTGATTTCGCGGGGGGGGGGGGGGGCACCCCCTAGTCCTTTCGCAGCGCCTGCGCAGAGCGCTGGCGGCGGAGCGCGGGGTTGCTCGCGCGCGGCCACCGCGACAGCTCGGACACTGCGGGAGCCGCGGCGCCTGCGCGCTGGCCGCGCCGGGCCACCCTTTGCGCAATCTGAGCCGCGGGCCCTGCGGCCCCGAGTGGCTGCGACGTCATCACCACGCACCGCGGTGCAGCGGAGGACCCCTCCGGTTACTCGGAGGACCGGGTGGGCGCGGCCATGTCACTGCCGGATGGCAATCCCGGATCGCGGCCTGGAGAGGCCCGTCAGGCGAAAGGGCGTGGAAGCCCCCGGGACCTTGCGTCTCGGCGGGCCCGACCCCGCGTCCCTCCGGGTGGCGGCGCTGTGACGCGCGCATCGCCCGGCCGCGACGAGAACGCAGGGCCGGGGTCTAGGCCTCGCGAGCGCAGTGCTTGGGGGCGGCCCGGGCTGGGGGTTGGCGGCATGTCGGAGGAGGATGTCTCTCGCGAAGCGGCCGGCTAGAAGTCTGGGTACCACTCTCCGCCTCCTCCAGACCCCGGAGAGAGACGGGATGAGGCTGGTGTCAAAGATCAAGGTCCCCTGCGCCCTGGACACAGGCGGTCCAGAGTCCTAGGCCGCCTCCAGGTGAGAGGACTCCCTGGGCGGGGCGTTGGAGGGGTGGGGGTCACAGAGGCCTGGAGAGGCCCAGCCTTTGCGGGTACATGTTGAAGCCTCCCTCGGCAGAGCCACTCCTTCATGCTGTGGTCTTCATCTGCCGGGGTGGGCGGGGGCTTAGGAGATGCTCGGGCAAAGGTCGCAGGCTTTGTGGGCCCTGATTTCAGGCTGGCCACGGGGAGCGACTAAATTCCAACTGCGCCATCAGGCAGCTCCTCTCGTGACCAGAGGGGGTCCCAGTCACCATGCAGGACCCACATCCGGGGGAGACGGTGGAGGAGCCGGATTCAGCCAAGGAGAAGAGTCCCCGCAGTCCTGGCAACGACCTCTGTGAGTACCCCTAGCCCCAGGGGGGATGGGGCTGTTCAAAGGATTTCCAAAGATTTTCCCCAGAGGCCAGGGCGCTGCTGTGGAAGGCTCTGTAAGGGCCTGTAGCTGCCCTCATGGTCACAGCCACTCCCATGGTAATGCCTTGAAGGCTCCAACTCTTCCCCCACCCAAGGGCAGAGGGAGTTGGGAGGGTGAGGATTCCAGAGAGCCTTGGGGTAGATCCTCAGTGACTACTTTTCAGGGTCCAGCTCAGTTCTGCCTCTTTCAGAGGAATTTAGACTCTGGTTTTCTTAATTACAAGGGGTGACAACTGCCCGCTTCCTCAGGCAGAGCTTAGCTACACGGGGACCGGATGGTAACGAAGGAGGTCACGATAACACAGAATAGCCAGAGTCTGCGGAAAGCTGATTGTGGGGCTGGGCCGTCTCAGTGCCCAGGCCTCACCTTCCACCACCTCAGCTGCGCCTCTAAAATGAACCACCAGTGCTTTCAAGAGGACCGGTGGGTGAGAGCCACAGTGGCACAGTCCCCAGGAACACCAGGCACACAGCTGGAGCTGAATATACCTGTGTGTTGCTCTTCTCATTGGATGGCGCATACACTAGGGGTATATGGGTGTCCTCTGGTTAGAAAGGGCTTGGTGTAGGGCAGGTTGTGTCTGCAGAGGGAGGAGGGGGTGTCAGGAAGAGCATTTTTGCTCTGGATCCGATGCTTCCGGAAAACAGAGGCAAGTTATATGAAGTTAGAAAGGGGCGGGGAAGGCTGGTAAGTCAGGCAGTGCCCCCTACCCCCCATTTAGCCAGTACAGCAGATGTGCCGTCATTCTGGTGGCTTGGGCTGTCCTGTTGCGCTATGCTGCTACACATTTGCCCCTTGGTTTATTCCCTTCGTGGCATGTGGCTTTGTCTGGTGATGTTCTGGGAAACTTCAACAGGTGAGCCCAGGCCTCCCTTGAGTGACCTGCTGGGAGGCCCACCCACATGCAACCCCACATTGGGCCACTTGCCTCTTTGTCGGTAGCAGAAACCACAGCCCCATTATTGTGGCACTGCTTCCTAGCTGCTGCTTCTTGAATTCTGTGGGGGTAAAGACTGACACTATTATCATCCCATATTGCAGAGGAGACTCGTCCCAGCCAGGAAGGCATGGGTGAGGCTCAATTTCAGATACCCGAAGCTGTGTTTCACAGTACTCCCCTGGCTCTTTGGGACAGGCTTCCTGGGTTCCAAGACATATCCCACTTTTCATTTCCTAGCCTTGTGACCGGGGACACACTGGGGAGGGGTCAACTTTTGAGCACTGGTCTGCTCCTGTACAAATAGGCCCCATCAGTTTGCCTGAGCGCTGTCCAAGCTGCCCAATGCCTGGGACGTAGCATGATTCTGGGGGCTTAGGAGAAATCCTTAGGTGAGGCTCCTGCTGGCCTCTCCTGACTGCCTGCGCCCACCCCCGCCCCATCCTTCAGGCCACCTGGGGGCCCTGCAGTGTACCCACTGCCTCATCACCTTCGCCGATTCCAAGTTCCAGGAGCGCCACATGAAGCGGGAGCACCCAGCGGATTTCGTGGCCCAGAAGCTGCAGGGAACCCTCTTCATCTGCTTCACTTGTGCGCGTTCCTTCCCCTCCTCCAAGGCCCTGATTGCCCACCAGCGCGGGCATGGGCCAGGCACCAGGCCTTCGGCGGGGGCACCTCTCAGTGCCCAGTCCACCTTCCCCTGCCCTGACTGTGGCAAGACCTTCGGGCAGGCAGCATCTCTGAGGCGCCACCGCCAGGCGCATGAGGCCCGTGCCCCTCCGGGTCCCTTTGCCTGCACTGAGTGTGGGCAAGATTTTGCCCAGGAAGCCGGGTTGCATCAGCACTACATCCGGCATGCCCGGGGGGAGCTCTGAATGCCCCAGGGGAAGGTGGGGACCTGCCCTATGAGGATGCGGGAGGGATCTGGATTTGCATGGGGCTCCTGAGAAACAGCCGACTCAGGACCAGAGAGGCTTTCAGGGCTTCTGTGTTTTTGGAGTACACGAAGGCCTGCAGGGAAATGGGGAGATGAGATGAGAAGATCTTTGACTTAAAAATATTATTTGCAACTCTTTCCCCATTATGTTGTTCAAACTCACACAAGTTGCAAATTTACCTTTAATTCCAGCTAGATGGGTGCCAAGGGCTGTTGAGACAAATTATCTGGGGTTGGTGCCCTCACAGGGCAGGTAAGGTGAGGTGTTGCTGGTCTGTGATGCCACCACCTGGGGCCCTTAACACTGCTGGGTATGGCCAAAACGAAACTGTCAAAATTTGCGTACCATTTTGATTACGAGATATTTTTTCTGTGTGCAGGTGAGATGGCATGGATAAGCTAATGGAAATTGTATCTAAAGCTGAAAAGGAATAAATATATAAATAATTGCCAATGGTCAGTGAGCTACTAAGACAACATTGAACCACGCTGAGAACTACTGTGGATGTTTGGCATTTTATATAATTAGAACTAAACACAATAATAAAGTTGAGATGTGTATGTATATAGGTGTGTGAGTGAATTATATATATATTATATATTTTGGGGTGGGGTGAGTGGTCACACTGACTGTACAGGGCTTACTCCTGGTTCTGCATTCAGGATTACTCCTGGTGAACTTGGGGGACCATATGTGGTACCAGCAATCAAACCTGGGTCTGCTGTATGCAAGGCAAGCACTCTATCCTCTGTACTATCACTTTAGCCCAATTTTTTAAAAGCCCAGAGAAGTGTCTCTTTTTCTTGGTTGGGGGTATGGGGGGCTGGCACAATAGGCAGTACTCAGGGCTGAGCTCAGGAATCACTCCTGGCGTGAGGTGTGTTTTTTTCTCCTTTTATTTTTGGGTCACACCCAGAGATGCTCAGGGGCTACTCCTGTCTCTGTACTCAAGAATTACTCCTGGCGGTGCTTGGGGGACCATATGGGATACCAGGGATGGAACCCAGGTCAGCCACGTACAAGGCAAACGCCCTACACGCTGTACTACCGCTCCATCCCTGAGAGGTGTGTTTTAAAATAAGTATTGGGGACTGGAGATAGAACAATGGGTAGGGTACTTATCTTGCATGTGGCCAACCCAGGTTTGCTCTCCAGCATCCCATATGCTTCCTGGGCCAACCAGGAGTGATCCTTGAGCGCTGCCGGGTGTGGCCCAAAATTAACAAAGCAGAAACTGGCCATTGAGCAGGAATTCCCACAGAACAGAAGGTCACAGGGAGGAGAGAGGAACAGAGGGCAGAGTGGGCAGGCCTGGCCCTGTGGAAAGCATTGTCTTGGAATCAAACAGTGATGCCTTCTGTTTCCTGCTGTCCTTGGCTAATACCTGGAAATTTCCCACTGAAATGCTAGTTCCAGGTCTCCCTAGGTCCAACCCTGCACTCCCATTATCTGCATGCAGAGAAGCAGGGCAGAAGCTGCAAGTGGTGAGTCGGGATGGGGTGGGGGTGGGGGTGGGTCACTGTCATCACCCTCAGATTGAAGATGAATCCTAACCCAGACCTGTTCTGTTCCCATTTAACCTGCCTGCCCAAGAGACATTGGTTGGGACCCTGCAGACAGTAATCATAGACTCTATTTGAACTACGGAATGTTTGTAAAGCCTCAGGTTGAAGAGATGTGGCAGATGTTGAGTCACCTCCCAATTCACGGTGCTACCCAGATGGGGTCACAAGACTACATTCTTGGGGAGAGCCCTTAAGCAGCAGAAGGGGAGGTTCTGCCTTTCTTCCACCTTCCTGAATGGTATGCGGACACAGTATCCAACAATTCTGGACCATGAGAGCAATGTGAGGGAGGATGGAGAGCAATGGAGAGCCAGAACCCCAGCTCTGGTCAGTTCTGTGGAGCAGCCTAAAAGCAGCTGAGCTGTTTCTAGACTGTTCTGTAAGTTTTGTGTCAAGTCACCATCAATCCCTAGCAGCAACATTTCCAGTTACCATAAGGGTAAAAACCAGCCCACCACCTGGTTTTTGCAACTAAAGTTTTATTGGAACAAAGTCGTGTTCAATCGTTTTACAGTCTGCGGCCGATTCTGTATAGGAAAGATTTCAAGCAGCTGCGATAGCGACTGTCTGGCTCTTAAGAGTCTAAAATAGTTACCATCTGGCCCTTTACAATAAAAGTTTGCCAGTCTCCTGTGTTAAGTGATAAAGCCTACAGGCAGTTTTTTTTCCCCCCGGGGTGGGGTGGGGTGGGGTGGTGGGGCATTGGCAGTCTCAAGGCTTACTCTTAACTCTGTGCTCAAGGATTGCTTCCAGCAGGGCTTGGGAGAACATATGGAGTGCCAGGGATCAAACCTGGATTGGCTTCATACAAGGCAAGCACCCTAGCCACTAAACTATCTTTCCAGCCCCATCCTTTTTTTTTAGGGGGGCACACCCAGAAATGCTCAAAGGTTACTCCTGGAGGGTTCAGGGGATCAAACCTAGGTCAGCCATGTGCAAGGCAAGTGCTTTACCTGCTGTAGGATCTCTCCACCTGCCCCACCCCACTTGCCCCCAACTTCTTAGAAATTTTTGCTGAAGGGTTGATTAATTCTCTCCATCTGGGCTTAGAAAGTTTCGCTGGAGAAGAGGGTTTAGGCATACTATCCCAGGAAACAGTCCAGAAGTTGTTTTCTGGAGCTGTGAATTTCTGCTTTGCTAATGCTTAGATTCTAGGAGCTTTAACCATAGCAGTGGCTAGGAGATACTTAGTCTCGAGAAGGGATAAATGTCAGGATCAGAACTTCTGGTGTTGGTTTGTGGCACCAGGACTATCAGTACTAGGAGACCAGGTGGTCTTTGGGACTAAACTAAGAGCAGGCTGGATGGAAGTGCCTTAACCCCTGTACTCTCTCCAGTCTCAGGATCAGAGATTGAGGACGAAAATGGGTTTTGGTCTAAGACCCTTTAACAGCACAAACGCAGTAAGAGTCCTTAGGGCCAGGAAGGTGCCATAATCACGGCAGCAGGCTGGAGAGTGCTCAGGGGATAAGCAGGTGCTCTGTGAGTGGTAGGTGGATCCCAGTTCCATTCTTGGTCTAGTCCCTGAGCATCCCTGGGAGCATCCCTGTCCACCCCCTGCCCCAGCACTCCCAGGTGGCCTGAAAACAAAACAAAAAAATCAAATTAAGGAGAGGTCCAGATGCAAGGCAAGTGGTGGCTAATGTCAACTGAGCAGGAGGGAAAGTCATCCCAGAGGGTTGTTAGTGCCACCATTCAGCTAGCACAATTTTCCCCTCTTCTTTGGCTTTGGGGTCCCACCGAGCTATTCCTGAAAAAACTATTCCTGGAGGTGCTTGGGGAACACTGAGGCTTAAGGGATGGAATCTGGGCCTCCCACATGCAAGCCTGCATTCCAGTCCTCTGAGTTCTTTGGAACACAATTTTTATTTTATTTTTGGTTTTTGGGTCACACCCAGCAATGCTCAGGGGTTACTCCTGGCTCATGCACTCAGGAATTGCTCCTGGCGGTGCTCAGGGGACCATATGGGGTGCTGGGAATCTAACCTGTGTCGGCCATGTTGGCTGTGTGCAAGGCAAACGCCCTACTCACTGTGCTATCGCTCCAGCCCCAGAACACAATTTTTAAAGCAAAAAATAAATAAATAAATAAATAATCTTATTTTAGATGAATGTGCCCATTTAAAAATGATGGTAAAAATGATGGTAACCACCTCTGTGTCAAAGCCCTGTTGGAAACTACCTCTCTTCTCCCCTCCAGCCCCTTTCCCTCCCCTTGACACAGCACTTACATCTTACCATTCTCTCCACGTCACACCTGGGGAGTGCGGAGAAATCACTGCTGAATAAACCAGTGACAGTCCTGACCTTGTCTGGTTCCAAAGCACTCGGCACAAGGCCTAGTCAGCTGCGAGCACTGAGATGGCTGGCCAGTAACGGTCTTCCTGGTCCTGTTTGTGAAGGCTCTGAGTTGCCAAGTTTCTACGAGTTCACACACTTTTATAAAGCGCCTGAGCACAGGGTCTGGTACACAACTTGAGCTGGGGCCAAGGAGCTGGCATTTGCATTAGGCTTCCACTCACCAAAGCACTGCAGGACTGAGCACTCCCCTCCAGGATGAGCACCTGAGTTTTCATGAGCCTGGGGTGTGTGAACCCTAAGCTTCCTTCTGACCTTACCCCAGCAGATCCCTCTCACCCTCCCTCCCTGCCCCAATAGCTGGCAGACTCCTGTCTTCTCAGGTCTGGGGCCCTATTACCACACTAATTTCCCCCTCGCCTCTATCACCATCTAACTCAGTGGTCCTCAACTGCTGGTGTTCTGCCTTGGTTAGAGCTACGGGCCTGTGGAGCTGCGCAGGGCAGGTGCTGGTCCAAGGAGTAAAAAGACTGAAGAAGGTCAAGCTAGATGATGTTGTCACATCTTTTGTTTTGGTTTGGGGAAGTACTCAGGGCTGACTCCCTGGCTCTGTTCTCAGGGACCACTACTGGAAGGGCTCCTGCATAGTTGCAGGGATCAAACTCAGGTTGGCCACATGCAAGACAAGTACCTAATGCCTGTACTACCTTTCATGTTTCCTGTCTGTCCTTGCCAGTGGCCCCTTTCTGATTCCAGGTAAGTGCCATGAGGACAGAGGTGCTGTTTACCACCCTGGTGTATTCCCAGGTCTTCACACACAACAGGCACTCAGAAGAACCTGGGTCCCAGACCCTACCTCCCTGGGTTCTTCCAAGAGTCTGATGAGCTTCTGCAAATAAACTGCAGCACTCGGGAGTGCTGGGGAAATGGCAGCTGTAATTATAATTAAGGTTCTATTTTGGTCGGTTCCTCGATGCACATCTTCTCAGAGGCAATGTATATAAAAAGCTCCTGGACCGGCACTTGGCACTCAGGAAGCACGGCTCTGATTATAATTGAAGCTAGGCACTCAAGCTCTTCTCCACAAGCCATTGCCTGCTTTCTGGGGCTTGGCTAGACCACCTTTCCCTAACCCCCTTGCCCTCTGTGTGAGTTGTAGCCACTCTGCTGATTGGCAGCAGCAGCATTAACTGGGGGAGGCTCATGGAGACTTCGAAAAGATGACCTCCCACCCCTCACCCTTGCCCTTTCCTTCCGAGCTCCTTTCCTCTTCTGCCAGCAGGACCAGGCCCTGACCACCAGACCCTGTGGGGTGATAAGACTTAAGTCTGATCTCTGGTCCCCATATGGAGAAGGGTTGCTGCTCACCAGAAACACCCACCGTGACTAGGATGTGAGCAAAACACAGAACTGGTGGCTGGAGCCTTCATGTACTGGCGCCATGGAAAAGGACACTGAACACAAGTGCTGACTCACATGATTTTTGGCAACAAACAATCCCAAGTTCCCTGGAGGAACTAGTGGGATAAACGCCCAGGCACAAGTCACACACACACACGCACACGCACACATACACCCCAACACGCTGGACCGACACACACAGAATTTGGCTTTTATTCCGGCCTTCACACATCTACTGCTAGCACAACACAGATGAGCGGTCCCCCATCCCGCCACAACCCCAGAGAACAGCCCAGTTTCCTCAGCCCCCTGGGCACCTCCCAGTCCTTCTGCCAAGCTCCCTGGGTCAGGGGGCTCTGACTACACCTCCCCCCTGGCATGCAGCATAAAGTGGCCATGCAGCTCCCCGAGGTTGTCGAAGGAATCCTCACACTCGGTACACTGGTACGTGCCCTCCTCATCCTCCTCGTCCTCCTCATCCTCCCGCCCTGTGGGTCGGCCCTCCCCAGCCCGAGGCAGCTCCTCCTCTTCCTCCCCAAGGGCCCGGCCTTCAGGGCCTGGTGCTTCCTGGGGGGCCAAAGCAGGGCCGCAGAGTCGGCAAGGTGGGGTGCCCGGTGGTGCCTCCCCGAGGAGGGATCGGCCACAGAGCTGGCAAGGCTGGGCAGGGGGCCCTGGGGGCTGGGCCGCTCGGGGGGGCCGGCGGGATGGACCCCCTCGGCCGCCCCCTAGACGCTGCTTCACCTTGTAGCCAGGGTCATATTCGGGGTCATCAGTGGTCTCTTCCTCCTCCTCCTCCTCTTCCTCTTCCTCTTCTGAGTCTGGCTCTGAGAGGGTATATTCGGAGTCTGAGGACCTCTCAGGGCCTGTAAGAGGACACATAAGGGAAAACCAGCTGCTCCCCAGCCCTGGGCATATACAGCCCACCCTCAGAGGGTAGCCCCACTGCCCGACCTGAGCTGTTAAGGCGCCAGACCACAAGCAAGCCAAAGTTTCGTGAGAGCTGCCAGGTGGGGGTTTCAGAAAGACAGTGCAGGGGCAGGAATAATGAAAAATCATATCCCCATGGCGCCCATTATTTGGGGAGGAGCCTGTTCTGACTGCTCAGACAGGGTCAGAGAGAGTACAAGAGGGACTCAACCTTTGTCTAATTTGTTTTTTTGGCCCCCTACTGGTTCTCTATGCTCAGGGGTCCTACCTTGCGGTGCTCGGGGGATCATTGAGTGGCAAGGATCAAACCAGGCAGGTAGGTTCCCTCCCTCCCGCCTTTCTTTTACATATTTAAAAATAATCTTAAGGTTAGGTAGGGCACAGTATAGTAGGTAGGACATTTGCGCTGCATGTGATCTACCCAGGTTTGATCTCTGGCACCCCTTATAGTCCCCCAAGTCCACCAGGAATGATTCCTGAGCGCAGAGACAGGAGTAAGCCCAGTGCCCCACCAAGTGTAGCCCAAAATCCAAAAAATAAAAATGAGGGGCTGAAGCAATAGTGCTGCTGGTAGGGCTCTTGCCTTGCTTGCAGCCAACCCAAGTTCTATGTCTGGCACCCCATATAGACCCCTGAGTATAGCTGGTGTGGCCCCCTCAAAAAATAAAATAAAAATGAAAAGAAGTGGGGGCCTCTCCTGGGGTCCTTTTTTATTTTCTGAAAATCACTCATGATTTTCTGCCGTCCTTGCTGCTGGGGGCATATGCCCCAGCCCCTGCACCACCCCTGCTGCCTGGGCAGGGGGAAGGGGGGGCACGGTGCCTGTAATTATTAAACATGAATTCAATAAAAAAAAAAAAAAGTGGGGGCCTCTGACTCGGTGGTGGAGGGAAACCAGCACTCTGGTGGAGGGCACTATTTTGAGATGCTGGATGCAAGACACTGTCCTTGACGTTACTGTAACAGACTGAAGATTATGGTACCTCAAACTAAACTTAGAAAGGAAAAAAATAAATAAAAAGGCAGTAGGGGTCAGAGACAACGCCTGCCTTGCAGATTCCATCCCCTGGTTCCTGAGCATCAGACGGTGCAGCCCTGGAGACTCCCAAGCACCTCTGGGATGGCGCAGGGGGTCCCTTGCATTTTGGGGCCTGAACATCACTGCATCTTAGCAGTGAACCACCAGTCTGGTTGCCTGAGAGTTGCTGGGAGGGGGTCCTGGGCCTTGAGAACACCACTTAGGAACCCTCCCACTGTTTCTGCATCAAAAACAACAAGAAAAGAAACAGACAGATACAGCCAAGGAAAGAGTGACAAGAACATTCCTGCAGAGGTGCTGTGGGAGACACAGTCTCTTCAGGTGAGGCGGCAGTCTAAAGTACCTCCTGGGGTGGCGGCCTCAGCTGCATTCACCCCAGGCCTGTCCTCATTCTTGCTAGCACAAGCTGGCCACAAGGGCCCTTGTCCCTGTTCACTCTGGCACACAGCTGTCCTGGCCTCAGCCTCGCTGGTGGATTGTCCCCTTCTCTCCTCGGCAGCTTAGCTTATCAGGTATGCAGCAACGCCCTGGCCAGCCTGGCTATTCCTCTGAGCATGCCCAACCCCAGCAGCTCAGCTTCAGTTTTTTTCTCTTCTCCTCACTGTCTATGTGTCACACTTACTGGCAGGTTCCCTTTCTGGCTTCCACAACAGGAACTGTCAGCTCACTGCTGCATCCCTGGCATCTACAACACTTTCCTGGTGCTGGCACTCAAGTGGACAAAACTCTTTTGGGGCTTTCACACATGATGTTCACTCTGCAAAGAATGTCCTGCGCAGGATTTTGGGCCTGTCCACCTTCCCGTTGCTCTTTTGTTGATGTGATAAAATGATGGCGGGGGCAGGGAGTGCTTCCCAACAGCCCCGCTCACAGACGCACATCTGCATGCAGGGCTTAGGTTTTCCTGGTAGCCTTTAGGCCACTTCCTCTGAGGCGAGACACACCAGGAAGATACTGTTCCTTTTGCCCCTAGGTGTGACCATCACGCGGCTCCCTTCACCCATACCTACAGGAGCTGCGAACAAAGAGCTGCAGCATCTGCTGGTTGGCAAGCACGTCTTACACGCCATCCAAAGATCTACTCTAACAGGCTGGCTTGCCACCATGCAGGACCTAGTCCGGGCTCCCTCCTTTCTGACCTCACTCCTCATTACACCCCAGGTCTTTCTCCAGTTCCCTCTACTTTGGCTCCAGCTGGCCCAGTCACTGTCCAAGAGGTGAAGTCATCTCCCAAATCTGATGAAGAATCCCTTCAGGGCAGGTCTGACTCATTGTGGGGTCCCCCACACTGCCCTGAACGGGATGTGTGGTTCAGATGGAAAGGGGTACCCCCAAACGCCTCCCTCTATCCTTTTTTGCCTTTACATATCCCCTGGATGACTCTGACTCCCTACTAGAGATCCTGCTCCTCTTTCGGGCCCAACTTCCATGTTATTTCCTCCATGAGGTCTCTCTCATCTGAGTCCTCCTCTCCCTACCTGCCTCTAAGACAGCCTGACCACCTGGGCAGTGACCATCTGGGTTCGGAGACTGGAGACCCCTTAAAGGCAGTTGAATCCAAACCATGGCTGGTTCCAGTTCTCTCTGGCCTTGGATGGATGCCCTTCTCCTCTTATTCCTCTCACCTCTTGACCACACCTACTGCCCTCTCAGGGCCTTCAATGCCCACTATGACTTCACGCAGGTGGCCTGTGAAAGACAGCTGGATTGTTGCCTGAGCTAGGAGGGCTTTCCTGTTCACTGTGACTTCCAGGACCACAAGCCCTTTCGCGCCCACCATGCCTTCTCCACCTGTGAGATCCTCAAAGCCCAGCACATCTCTGGCAGCCTCTGGAGCCTCCAAGCCGACAGTGTCTCCCAAGACACCTGCATCCTTGAGGACTACTAAATCGACAATGCCCAATAGTACCTCAATACCCACCAAACCATCAATGGCCCCCAATTCGGTCATGAGCCCGAGTACTTCCAGGTCTACCAAGTGGACAGAAGCAAAGACAGCCCATCCTACCCGGTCCAGACAGACGTCTCAAGCACGTAAGAAGATAAGAACATCCAGCAGGGCCAGCACCGACACCAAGGGCAGCACTGACACCAGGACCAGCACCGACACCAGGACCAGCACCAACACCAGGACCAGCACCGACACCAGGGCCAGCACCAACACCAAGACCAGCAGAACCAGCAAGGCCAGTGGGGTAAGTCACCACCGGCGGAGGGGCACACAAAGCCGGGGCAGAACTCCCGGCAGAAGGGGAAGCCGCAGCTCCAAGAGGTCACCCAGCAGGATCAGCAAGCTCAGCCAGCTAAAATCTCAGGGTGCCAAACTAGGTATGTTCGGCCAAGTGAGAACTCCTACTTCCCAGCATAGAAAGAGCAAGGGCAAAAGCTATAGCCAGCCTCGAAGCAGTCGCAGGGAAAGGAGTGAGAGCAAGCCTCGACATGTGAGAAGGGAGAGGAGTTACAGTCCACCGGAAGCCTTATTCGGTGGCTTGGAGAACAGTTTTAGGCTGATGAAAACTGCCAATAGAGCCAAGAGTCATAGCCCCACCAACATTTCCTACAAGGAAAAAGCTAAGACCCAGTTTCCGTCATCACTGTGGAGGGTGAGGAGCGACAGTCAAATGATTATTCCCAGAAGGGAAAGAAGTGATAGCCCAACCAGAGTATTCAGAAAGTTCACGCATTACAGCCTGGGTAGGGTACTTGGCAGAACCCAAAGTGACAGTCGTTCTAGAAGCCCAAGAATGACCCGAAGTCCCAGTCACTCTAGCAGCCCCAGCAGTATCCGAAGCGAGAGCCAAGCGAGAAGGGCAAGAAGTCGCAGTAGGAAGAGGGTAGAAAACAGAGTGAGAAGTCACAGCTGGAAGACAAATCATAGTAGGGCAAGAAGTGAGGCCCAGAATGGAACTCCCAGTCAGATGAGAAGTCACAGCTCATCTAGGAGCCCCAGCAAGGAAAACACTCAGAGGCAGCCTCGAAACCCCAGCAAGGAGAGGGCTCATTGGAAGTCTGGAAGCCCCAGCAAGGAGGGGGCTCATAAGCTGTCCAGAAGCTCCAGCAAAGAAAAGGCTCACAGGAGGTCTGGAAGCCCCAGCAAGGAGAGGGCTCGGAGATGGTCTGGAAGCCCCAGCAAGGAGAGGGCTCAGAGATGGTCTGGAAGCCCCAGCAAGGAGGGGGCACATAAGCAGCCCAGAAGCTCCAGCAAAGAAAAGGCTCACAGGAGGTCTAGAAGTCCCAGCAAGGAGAGGGCTCAGAGATGGTCTAGAAGCCCCAGCAAGGAGAGGGCTCACCAGCAATCTGGAAGCTCCAGCAAGGAGGGGCCTCATAAGCAGTCCAGAAGCACCAGCAAAGAAAAGGCTCACAGGAGGTCTAGAAGCCCCAGCAAAGAGAGGGCTCAGAGATGGCCTGGAACCCCCAGCAAGGAGGAGGTACACAGACAGCCCAGAAGCTCCAGCAAAGAAAAGGCTCATAGGAGGTCTAGAAGCCCCAGCAAGGAGAGGACGCAGAGATGGTCTAGAAGCCCCAGCAAAGAGAGGATGCAGAGATGGTCAGGAAGCTCCAGCAAGGAGGAGGCTCACAGGCAGCCCAGAAGCTCCAGCAAAGAAAAGACCCACAGAAGGTCTAGAAGCCCCACCAAGGAGAGGACGCAGAGATGGTCTAGAAGCCCCAGCAAGGAGGGGACTCACATGCAGACTGGGTGCTCCAGCAAAGAAAATGCTCACAGGAGGTCTAGAAGCCCCAGCAAGGAGAGGGTTCAGAAATGGTCTAGAAGCTCCAGCAAGGATGGGACACACAGGCAGCCTAGAAGCTCCAGCAAGGAGGGGGCTCATAGAGAGTCAGAAAGCCCCACAAAGGAAAAAGCACATAGGTCTTACAGTCCTACACAAGATAAGGAACATGGGCAGTTTACAAGTCTCAACAAGAAGGACAGAAAGCAATCAAGAAGCCCCAGTAGGGAGAAGGAATACTGGAAATCTCTAAGTCCCAACAAGGAGAAAGATCACAGATGCTCTAGAAGTCCTAGTAGGGAGAAAGAACATAGACGCTCTAGAAGTCCCAACAAGGAGAAGGAACACAGATGCTCTAGAAGCCCCAGCAGGGAGAAAGAACATAGATGCTCTAGAAGTCCCAACAAGAAGGAACACAGGCGCTCTAGAAGCCCCAGTAGGGAGAAAGAACACAGATGCTCTAGAAGCCCCACCAAGGAGAAAGAACACAAGAGATCTACAAGTCCTAACAAAGAAAAGGAATACAAACATTCCAGAAGTCCCAGTAGAGAGAAGGAACACAGAAGATCTACAAGTCCTAACAAAGAAAAGGAACAAAGACGCTCCAGAAGTCCCAGTAGGGAGAAGGAACACAGGAGATCTATAAGTCCTAACAAAGAGAAGGAACACAGACGCTCTAGAAGCCCCAGTAGGGAGAAAGAACACAGACGCTCTAGAAGCCCCAACAAGGAGAAAGAACACAGGAGATCTACAAGTCCTAACAAAGAAAAGGAACAAAGACACTCCAGAAGTCCCAGTAGGGAGAAAGAACACAGGAGATCTATAAGTCCTAACAAAGAGAAGGAACACAGATACTCTAGAAGCCCCACTAGGGAAAAGGAACACAGACACTCCAGAAGCCCCAGTCGGGAGAAGGAACATGGACACTCTAGAAGCCCCAGTTGGGAGAAGGAACACAGACGCTCCAGAAGCCCCAGCTGGGAGAAGGAACACAGACACTCTAGAAACCCCAGTTGGGAGAAGGAATACTGGAGATCTACAAGTCCTAACAGGAAGAAGGTTCACAAGCAATCTAAAAGCCCCAGTAAAAAGAAGGAACACAGAAGATCTACAAGTCCCAACAAAGAGAGGGCTCAGAAACAATCTAGAACCCCCAGTAGGGGGAGTCATTCTAAAACACCAACCAGGAGCAAGCGGAGCCTTTCGAGAACCCGTAGACAGGAAGGAGAACAAAGCAGTTCATCTGGAATTCTCAGAAAGGATAGAGATCACAGCCAATCCACAACCTCCAGCAAGGAAAGTTCTTCTAGTCAATCTACAAGCTCCAAAAGTCTCAGCTGGAAGGGAGCCCCCAGCGGGCTACAGAATCCCAGTCGGAATAAAACCCCCAGCAACACCATCAGCCACTCCACAAAATTTCTTAGTAGACCGCCAACTGCAAGGCTAGAGCATATTCAAGCCAGCAACGCTACCACGAAGGCTGCCTTACCTGGAGAGAGGTCCTCATCATCTTCTTCCAAGCTGGCGTAGCCCCCAGTCTCAGCTGGCTCACGGGTCTCTGTCATGGCCGGGGGAGGGGACAGGAGACAGGAGCAGAGCAGTGGCTGGGCAATGTCCCTCCCCGGCCAGCTCTTCACAACCACAACTTTGCTCACAACTTTCTAACGCAGGCTGGGGTGAAAAAGAAAAAAAATAGACTTGCGGTGACTCAATAAATTTTTATATAGCATCTGGCTCACCAGGCACAGCTGTATGCTTAGTACTGGGGGCAAGGCAAAGAGGGCCTGAGCTCTGTTCCCGAGTGCCTACAGAGCCTAGTCTGCAGGTCCTGCCCTTCTTAAAGCCTTCCCTTCCCAGGCAACAAAGCCTTCTGGGTTCCTAATCCATGGTGTGGTATATGGTAAGGTTCCACACTTGTACCAATAGCAGTACTAACCCTGGCACCAGTTCTAATATGGTTACAACCACATGTTCTAAGAGGAGGGGCTGGAGAGAGAATACGTGGGAAAGGTGCTTGCCTTTCATAAGGCCCAGCCAAGTTTGATCCCCAGCATCCCTAACAGTTCCCTGAGCCCTGCCAGGAGTGATTCCTGAGTGCAGAGCCAAGAGCAACTCCTGAGCATCCCTGGATGTGGTCCAAAAACAAAGACAAGGTCATGGTCAGGCATGGAACCTTCCAGTTGTACTGGACCGTAGAAAAGGCTGGGTTAGCAGGGAACTTAAATAGTAGTTGGGGGTAGGGATTGCTTGGTGTAACAGGGGTGTATCAGCTCATCTGAATGAAAGGACTTTGTTATTTAAACTACACTATGTGAATATCAAGAGCTCCACCAGGAGTGATTTCTCAGCACAGAGCCAGGAATAAGCCCTGAGAAGTTCTGGGCGTGTCCACCCCCCATACCCCCCCCCCCCCCATGCGCAGGATTCATAACAGAGGACAGTTCTTAGCATATCCTATTGTCTGTAGGTCACCAATTGAGTTGGGAACTCAACTGTATTTTCAGGTTTTTTTGGTTTACCCAAAGGCGGTGCTCAGGGCTTACCCCTGGTTCTGCACTCAGGAATCACTCCTGCCAGGCTCGTGGGACTATATGGAGTGCCATGTAGTCCAATCTCTGAACCATCTATCTCCATCTCTGAATCATCTCTCCAGGGCCCCGGGAACAGTCCATTTTCTAAGAGATAAACTGCTTATCTGAAATTCAAATTTTTCTGGGCGTTCTATATTTTAACTCGCAACTAAAGAGACCTGGGACACTCAATCAGGGCTTCTGATGATGGTGGCCAAAAACCACTGTTGGCAGGTCCATTCTTCTCTTCCCCCAGAGTTCATCACACAAGACCTTCCGGAACATTCCAGATGCCAGGCGGGGGAGGGGGAGTGCGGGGGAATTTCCTGACGTCCAAGTTCCCTGGCAGCTGGACCGCCTGCCTCCCAGGACCTTCGAGGGGTGTAAATGAGGCTAACTCACAACCAACCCCAAGGCAAACTGCACCCGTGCCCCGTGAGTTCCTCGGTCAAGAGGAACCAACGCCTCAGAGGCCCTCCGTGACCCTGAGAGGCTGTGACTGAGGCGAGGGCGGCCGGGGAAGCCGAGGCCCACGACGCCCGGCCGCAATTCTCCCCTAGATGCCCGGTAAGGCACTGAGTGGGCACCTTCCTCGAGGCTCGGAGTCGAGGCACAGCAAACTTCCAGCACGCTCGGTTGAAGGGGTGTGACAAAAGGGCCCGGCGTCCCTCGGCGAGGAGCCTTCCCAGAATGCCCCGCACCTCAAACGACCGACTCCCACAGTGCCCTGGGGCAATCCCCGTTTTCCCAGCATGCCCCGGGGCCGCGTGGAGGCGCGTGGGGGAGAAAGGGGCACCCGGGTCTCGACCTCAAGCCACCGAGGAGGGAGCCGGCCTCCGGGGGCCGGGAGCCGCCACTCCCAGCGTGCCGTGGTGCCGTAACGCCCGCTTCCCGACATGCCCCGCGCGCCCGCTCCCGTTCACTCACCGGCGACGGCGGCGGTGCCCGGTCCTAGTCCGCGGCGGCGGCGGCGGCGGCGGCTGCACGCCCGGGCTCCTGCGCCTGCGCTACCGGAGGGGCGTGAGGGAGCGCGAGGGGCGTACGGAGCCAAGGGCGCTTGCGCGGCGTTATGGACCGTTCCTGTGGCATCACCGGGAGAGGGGCTCTCCGAGTCGGGCCGACGTCGACGCCCGCGAAAGGGGGTCCGGGCTTTGCCCCTCATCGTCAGGGTCTACTTGGTACAGTCCGCAAGCCTGCCGGAACCAGAAAGTTCAGGGCTTGCGCGTGCGTGAGCCGAGCCTCAAGGCGCTTCTTAGAAACTAGGATGCCCTGCGGGGGGGGAGGGGCAGGGCCGCCAGCTTCGATCCCCGGACTGGGGCCTTATTTGCATAATATTGGCGCGGGACAATGGGGAGGCCTCGGGCGCTGCGTGGGTGATTTGCATCTTTCCGGGAGAGGCAGGGGCCCGAGAGTGCGGTGATTAGCATATGTGGGGGCGGGGCGGCGTACCTGAACCAAGTGCATGCGCACACGGACTGCGGACTAGCAAGGAGGGGGTGGACTTGAGTTGGTCAGTTTATTTAACCAAAATGGGACCCGAGGGTCAAGACCTTTACCAAACCACCCCATCCTAACCCGCAAAGATATTGGGGAAAGGGGGTGTTTTGGGCCACACCCAGCGATGCGCAGGGGCTGCTTCTGGCTCTGCATTCAGGAATTACTCCTCACGGGACTGAGGGAACTGTATGGGACACCTGGGATCGAATTCGGGTTGGCTGCATGCAGGGCAAATGCCCTCACCGCTATACTATCTCTCTGTTCCCCAACATGAATATTTTATTGCTCGCCAGGGTGTCTGGCTCAGCCTGGTGGGCACTGTAGGTTCCGCAGAGAACAAGGCTTGCCTGGTCCTCATTCTCATACGCCCAAAGTCAGAGAAAGAAGAGGCACAAATAAATCAGAACCACTCGAGCAAGAGCGGCCAGACCTTGAAGGAGTGGAGCACAGGAAGCTGTGGGTTCGAGACACCACCTGCCCCTGAGTTTTGGGCCAAAGATGAATAGAAGCCAATTGGAATGGGAGATTTTTGGCACAGAGAACAAGGGCACACTCCTAAAGGGGCAGGAGAGCGTATGGCTTAAGGAACAGAAAGCAGTTAAAGTATGCCTGGAACCAAATTGCAGAGGGCAAGTCTTCTCCAGGTGACCTTAAGAGCTCAGACTTTATGCAGAGTATTAGAAGCTCTGGAAGCATTACAAACTGCCAGGGGAAAGTGACTCACATTCCAGCTTTCACTCCACAAAGGACTCCTGGGATCCCCTTCACCATAGTGTCTGGGGCTACAACACCTGGTTGGCCAACCTCTCTCCCCACATAGCTCTCTAGCCCCATTTCCCCCAGAACCTTGCGGGGTATTTCTCAACTCTTGACCAGGTGTTTTGTTTCCCTAAACCCATTATCTGAAAGCACTTTACCTTGGAAGGTACTCCTTTTAGATCTCTCAGTCCAGATGCAAATCTGAGAGGTTTTCCTTAATCTTTTCTCAAAGAGCACATCCAGATTTTCTTTAGGGGAGTGGAGTGTGGCTCAATTAGGAAAGGCTGTGAGTAGACTTGTAGGAGCTGGGGTAAAAGGAACTTCCAATTGGATTCCACACTAATGCTAAACTGGAGAATACCTAATCTGTTGACTTGTTGCTAAACTGGAGAATACCTAACCTGTTGACTTGTTGCCAGCACTTGGCACTTCAATCTTGGAGCACCAGACACAAAGTAAGAAGTCAGAGTTAGGATGACTTACCTAAAATCTGAAGGAAGGAATGAGAAGTGCTGGAAGGCCAGGCTGAGTTTTAGCCTGTTCAAGAGGTGATGGGGAACTTGAGGTTTTTGTTTGGTTTTCTGTTTTGAATTTTTGGGTCACACCCAATGATGCTCAGGGCTTACTCGGGACTCTGCACTCAGGGATCAGTCCTAGGGATTAGGAATGGAACCCCAGTCAGCCACATGCAAGGCAAGCTCCCTACCCACCATATTTTCTCTCTAGTCCTTGGGTGAGGTTTCGAGCAGGATGGCGTCATTGAAAGCTCCCCTGGAGATGTCTGGGTTGGGGGTAGATGGGAAGAAGTCTAGGTTCATGGGTAGTTCAGGGGATACTGAAAAGACTGAGCATTTGGCTGGAGGATAGCCACAGGAGATCGTCTTCTTGGGAAAGTGAGGGGTGTCTTCAGAGAGCAGCTCCTCTCCTGGCCTGGCCTGTCCAACAGCGACCATCACACACTCCCTCCCACCTTCCAACGTGGCGCAGCTCTGGGAAGGGGGACAGACACACGCCACCCCAAAGCTTGTTCTCTCCTCAGTTTAATGGTGGTTAGTGGGATTGCCAAAACTCCCTCCCCCTTCCCCTCCCCACCCCGTACAAAATGGGTGTTTTTTTTTTCTAAAACAAGAAAAAGGGCAAAAGTCAGGAATGGGGGAGGGGTGCAATCTGATATTTTTTCATACAGATTTTTGATTTTTTTAATATATTATATATAAAACCATAGAGACCAACGCACCCCTGCCCCAAACTCCTTTCCCCTTCCCTGGGGGGCCTGGAGGAGAGATGGGGAAGGCCCCCCAGGAGTGGGTGGACAGAGACAAATATGGGTGGGACAGATGAGGGGAGAGGAGATGGAGAAAAGGGACACCCAGGAGCCTGGGGGAGGGGGACTGGAGTGGCGGGTTGGGGCTATCTCCCTCACTGCCCCCATCAAAGTTATGACGCACAGACACAGAACCCCGGTTTCCATACCCTCCCCCCACCCTCACCCCCACCGTGCAAACATGGCTTTGCAAAGAGGTGCCCAGAGCTCTGTGGAACTCCTACAATGGCTGGCATGGGGTCTGGAACCCCCAAAGAAATCTGTGTTCCCCTTCCCTGCCCACCCTACCCTTCCCAGAATCTGACCCCTCCCCACAAGACCTGGTTCTGCAGCCGAGGGGTGCTGTCCTTCCCCCAGTTATCTTCCCCAACCCACTCCCTACTGCCCTCCCTGGACGTGGTGGGTTTGGACCTTTGGTCCCTGAACCCCCCGGGGGATCCAGACCCCTGGGCCCTTGCTTCTGGCTCGTTCAGAGACCCAGGCCTCCGACATCCCCATCCCTGCCCAAACGTCTGAGGTGTTAGTGGTGGGGGGAGATGCCCACCATCCCAGACTCTGGTCAATGTCTTTGCAGCTGGCAGTGGGGTTGACCCCTGCCCAGACCCAGGCCTGGGGTGGAGGTGGGGTCAGATGAAGAATTCTTCTTTCCTCTTGTGTCCATCACTGCCATTGAGGAAGGCTTCTCTGGCTTCTCCTTGCTCATCCAAACCGCTGGCCTCGTGGGTCAGATAGGAGCCTGAGGGGGGACAAGTCCCAGTGGAGGAGGCAATGGGGACACCGGAGAGGGGCAAAAGTAGATGACAAGGGCAGGCAGCCAAGACAAGAACGGAGAGAAAGAGAGGAAGAACACCGGAGAGCACACAGCAGAGCAAGGGAATAGGGAAATGGACCAGAGAGAGAGGTAAATGCAGAATTAGGATCCTGACTCTCAAAGCGGCAAAGAGCAACCCTTCACCCATATCCATTTTCTTGATGGTATTCCCCTGCTCAGCTCCCAACTAGTCCATTAATTCGGAAGACAAATTGTTCTTGTGATTTTGTTTTAGGGCCACACCTGGCGATGCTCAGGGATTACTCCTAGCAGGCTCAGGGGACCATATAGGGTGCCGGGGATTGAATCCCGGGTCAGCAACATGCAAGACAAGTGCCCTAACTGGTTGTACTATTGCTCATGCCCTAAAATAAATTATTTTATTTAAACTCATGGCCTTTATTTTGCAACAAAGTTTCACCTGCTTTTGAGTCTAGGACTGAAAAAATAACTATTGAAGTCTCTTCTTTCCCTCCCTTTTCCATTTTTGCAGTGATGCCAGGGATTGAACCCAGGGCCTCACACATGCAAACCACATTCTCTACAACTGAGCAACATTCCAGGCCCTTACTTAGAATCTTGGCCTTTGACGGGGGTTTGAAAACTTGTATATATTCTCCAGTCTCCACCCCTGCTTCCTTCTTTGGAGTCAGACTTTTGGTTCGGCCCTTTCCAGACTTCCCAAGTAACTTCACCCTCTCTGAACTCAGACCCCAGCTCACTCACCCTTCTGCCGGACGGAGCACCAGACCATGCCCACTAATACACAGATGATCAAAAACACCAGTAGCGCCAGGATGCCACCCACAATGGCGTAGGGCACCGATGTCTGAGCCTCTACCACTGCACCAGGGTCTGGCAGAGAGACAGAAAGAAGCAGGTCAGCAGCAGAGAAGGGTGCAGATCAGTCCCACCTCTGCCAACCTCTTAGATCATGCTGCTGTCCAGTCCAGAGGCACCTTTACAAGCCACGCCCCTCAAATGGCTGCCCCCAGGTGCCCTCTGTGGATCTTCACCCTGTCCAGATGCTTCACCCTCGCCAGGTAGTTGATTTTTGTTTCCCAGGGTTTTCAACTGGCCCCGAACCCCCACTTGCTAACACCTGCTCTGAGCTTCCCCCTTCCCCTCAAAACTGAAGCTGCACACACCCCTTTTCATCGGATGCTGTTTCTTCTCCTCGTGTCCAATCCTTCCCGTTTCCTCAAAAACACTCCAGATTTTTAAAATACTGCGCCAGGGTCCTACCAATTCTTAAATCCTTGCTCCCAGCATCAGACAGCTAAACATATTACTTCTTTTTTCCTAGAGGCCATTCTAACCACCTTTTAATCTTTTGGTCACATTTCCTTCATAACAACCATGGCTTCTTTCCATTTTGTCGAGGAGAAAATGTGAATGGTTGGCATTCCAGCCAGATGTGGGCCAGGATGTTGCTGAATCTGAACGCGGAAACCTGTCTCGCCCCAGTGGTTACTGAGCCCCATTCAGAATTATTCTTTGCACTGGTCTGCTTAAGTGCTACTCTAGGCGTTTGGATGGTCCCTTCCCAAGGGTCAAGCAGCGTAACAGGCCCACTTCTTGGCCCAGCCCCCCAACCAAACCTGCGCAGCTGGCCCTCACCATAGACCACGAGTACGTAGAGCGCCCTCGCGTGGCCGTGCTTGTTGGACGCCTCACACGTGTAGGTGCCATTATCTGCAGATACCAGGCCCGGCAGTGTCAGTGTCTCCCCAACAGCCTCAGCCCGCTCAGGCAAAGACTCATTCCCACGGTTCCAGCGGATCTGGTTTGGCCTAAGAGGGGGTAAAGCATTATGAGAATTAAGGGCACTGGTTCAGCACCCAATTAATTTTGACTTTTCAAGGAATCGGGACTTGCAGCTTCTACCTCCTGGGGATCTCAAATAAGAGAGTCCTTACTAACCCTTTGCTTTCGAGAAAAACCAACAGTCCTGTGCTCAGCTTCCATCATCATGGTCTCGGAAACTGTAGCCTCCCAAGCGCGTTCCATCTTCAGAATCCAGAAATCTGGAGTCCCACAGTCTCCTTCCCCTGGGTCTAGTCCTCCCTCAAAACTCGGAAGTCAGGCCAAAGCGACAGTATAGCGGGGAGGGCTATAGACGCCTTGCACATAGACGACCCAGGCTCAATCCCCGGCATCCCATATGGTCCCCTAAACACCACCAAAAGTGATCCCTAAGCAGAGAGCCAGGAGTAAATCCTGAGCACTGCCGGGTGTGTCTCAAAAACAAACAAAAAAGAAAGAAAGAAATCAGGCTGGTGCAATATTACAGCAGGTAGGGCATTTGCCTTGCATGAGGGCAACCCAGGTTTAATCCCTGGCATCCTGTATGGTCCCCCAGCACTGCCAAGAGTGATTCCTGAATGCAGAGCTGGGAATAACCCCTGAGCACTACTGGGTGTGCCATCTCCCAAAAAAGAAGAATCAGAAGTCCAGACTCTAGCCATCTCTCTTTGCCCACTGTCCTTCCCAGAGCAACAATCATTCAGCCAACGCTCACCTGGGGTTCCCTGTTACAGCACATGTTAGCACCAACGTGTCTCCTTCCCTCGCCACAGCTTGAGAGGCATGGATGCGGGCTGTCGGGGAGTCTGTGGAGCAGATATGAGGAAGAAGAGTGATTTTTTTTTTTGCCCCTTAGCACGCAGGTCTTAGGAACACCCCCATCCAGGTCCCAGCGGCACTTACACTGCACATCCAGCACGTACTGCGTCTGCTTGCTGTGTCCGGAGGGCAGCGCCTGGTTCTGCGCCTCACAGATGACGATGCCGCCGTCATCCTTGCGGTCCACGCGAAACCGCACGGTGCTCGCCACGCTCCAGACTTTGCCATTTTCCTGGCCGCTGCTCACGCCTGTCAAGCCCAGCCCAACAGTCAGGCTCCGCTCACCCACTGAGACAACCCCAGCCAATCCCAAAGGAAGCTATCAGCAAAGTCCCGCCCCCTGACTAGAGGTTCCGCCTCCCATTCACAAAGTCCCGCCCCTCTCCAGTTCTCACTGCTTCACCCCATTCAGCTATCAATTCATTTTTTTAATTTAGTTTTTATCTTATCAGAGGCACGGTGATTTACAATACGGCTAATAATAGGGTTTCAGGCCTATGATATCCCCAACATCACACCCTCCACCAGAGCATCCACTTCCCTCCATCGTTGTTGCAGTATCGGTCAGTTCTGTAGCTACATATTGATTGTGGGCTTGGTGTAGGTTGACCTCGTTCTAGTCTGCTGGCTCTGTTGATAGGTAAAACCGCCCTTGCCCAAGCCTGGCCCTCTGAAGCCCTGACCTTTCTCGAATCCCACCCCTGCCCTTACCACCCCAGGCAAGTACCTTTCAACTCCTTGCGGTCCCTGTACCAGCGTAGGGTGGCCGCAGGGCGAGACCGTGGGACCAGACAGCTAAGCTCTACCTCGCCGCCCTCCACCGCCTGCTCCCGGACCTCCACCACGGGATTCTCTGGGGCCACTGCCATAGGGAGAAAAGGGTTAGGGTGGGCGACCAAAAGAGGCATTGAAGTGCGGTCAAAGTGACCAAGCTGCAGAATCCCAGGGACCAAAGGAAACAAGGGTCTTGGGCGGCAAGAGCCATAACAAATGTCTGAGAACAGACGTCAAAATGGGAGACCTTGGGCAGGAAATTGTTGTCAGGATAGAGTCAGGTCTCGGGATAAGGGATGAGCAGAGTTGTGGGTCCATGGAGTGGGGTGTGCTGTTACCCAGGACAGTGAGTGTGGCAATCTGGTGATGGGTGTCCTCCGTATAGAGTTGGCAGAAATATCCCCCCTCATCCTCCAGGCGGGCATCGGAGAGGCGGATCCGAACCCGACGCGGGGAGAACTCCTCGAGCTGGAAACGCTCGTCTTTCAGGGCTAGTAAGAGAAAAATGGCATCAGTCAGTCGGCCCTGGCCTCATCAGTCCTGGTCTGGCCATCACCAGGGGACTGGCCTCCACCTTGGGGTCTCCTGTGAGCCTAAGGGGAGTTAATACCTTTAGGGACCCAAAATGATTCAGGCCTTCATGCCCAAAGGACCAGGAGTCCAGCACCCCAGTTCTCCTCCCCCTTCCCCCCTGCACACACACTCAGGCCCAGGAACTTGCATATCTCTTCTCTGTCCTCTTGGGGGACACTCAAGTCAGGGCTGTCCTCTCCTCTCTCAGGACTCACCTCGAGTGCCATTGAAGAAAAGGGTCTGCCGGGCTGGGTTCTGAATGACAACGATGGACCCGTCATACTGGTGCAGACGGCAGGTGATCTCAGCCACTCCACCCTCAGCCACTGTCACGTTCTCCGTCTGTACTTCCTGTCCTGCCCCTGGGCCAGCAGACAAAGACTCACTGAAGGCTGCAGTGCAGTCCCCTCTTTTTCTCCCCAAGCCTGCAGTCCCACTCTCATCCCATCTGTTACACCCAGCATTTCTGGAGACTTGTTATTCAAGGACGAAGTAAAATCAGCATGTGGACACACAGAGACCAGGGGAAGAGAAGCAGGACTGCCAGGAGAGACTGGTGTTCATAGAAGTTTCTGGAAGAAAGCTCTATGTATATGCTCTCTTATTTTACTTATATTTTGTTTTAGGACCACACCCCGTGGTACTCAAGGCTTCCTCCTGCTCTGTGCTCAAGGATTGTATCTGGCAGTGCTTAAAGGCCTATGTGGGTGCCAGGTATCAAACCAAGGTCTGATTTGGGCAAGCACCTAAACCCCTGTACTGTCTCTCCAGCCCCCCAAACTTTATGTTTTAAAGAGCGACCAGGAGTTCAGCAGGGAGGGGAAACTGGTAGGTGATCCCATCTGGGCACGTGTGGGAGCTTGTTTGCAGATACTGTGGATAAGCTGACTCGGCTTCTCCTCCCATGAAGGATGCACTCTGAGCCCTGTTTCTCTTTGTTTTGGGGACACACCCAATGGTTCTCAGGGCCTACTCCTGGCTTAGAGTTCAAGGATCACTCCTAGCAGGGTTTGGAGGATTCTATGAGGGGCTGGGGATCAAACCCAAGTCTACCACATGCAAGACAAGCTCTCTGGCCCTGTAGGATTTTTTCTTACAGCAGCTAAACACCCAATAAGTCCCTGAGGGAAAGGTAAGGGTTAGATTTACAGCCCAGAAAGGGATCCAAAGCGTCAGCCTCAAGCTCCCACTCCTTGTCCAAAAGCACAATTTCACTGCAGAACCATTGCACCAAAATTTTTTTTTTCAGTCCAAAAGTTGGATGATGGGCAAGAGAGAGGGTTACAGGGGTTAAGGTGCTTGTCTTAAATGCAGCTAACCCCAGTTCAATGCCCAGTACGACATGGGGTCCCCAGCACAGTGCCAGGAGTAGTCCAGAGCAAACAAGGTGTGGCCCAAACACTCCTCGCCAAAAATAAAAGTCAATTTAAACCAATAAAATGGCTTTCCATAGAGCCAGGAAGAGTTCAAAGGACTGAGTGCATCTTTGTGCCTTGGAGGCCCAAGTGGGGGCCTGGCACTGTATGGTCACTGAGCACCACGGGGTACGACTCAAACTCCTCCGCCACAAAAGTAAGTTTTGGTTTTGTTTTGGGGCCATAACCGACAGTGCTCAGGGCTTACTCCTGGCTCTGCATTCCAAGGATCAATTCTGGTAGGCTCAGGTGATCAAACTTGGGTTGCAGGGCAAGCACCCTACCTGCCATACTATCACTTCGGCTTCTCCCAAAACACTTTTTCAAAAACTTCACAGAGGCTGGAATGATAGTACAGTATTTGCCTTGCAAACAGCTGAACTCGGGGCGCCGGAGCAATAGTACAGCGGGTAGGGCGTTTGCCTTGCACGCTGGGTTCTATCCCTGGCATCCCATATGTTCCCCTGAGCACTGCCAGGACTGATTCCTGAGTGCAGAGCCAGGAGTAACCCTTGAGCATTGCTGGGTGTGACAACCCCCCAAAAAAAAGCAAAAGCAAAAAAAAAAAAAAAACTAAACAACCAACTCAGATTTTTTTTTAAGCCAACTCAGATTTGATCCTGGCATCCCATAGAGTTCCCTGAACATGCCTGGAGTGATTCCTGAGCTCAGAGCCAGGAGTAAGACCTGAGCACTGCTGTGTGTGGCCCCAATACCATAACAAAACAAAACAAAACAATTTACATAATGGTCACACACCCCTTTTTTGAAAAAAAAAAAAAAGACATATTGGCAATGAAATTATGTTCTTGGGAAACCACCAATAACAGCACTGTAAATTCCAGAATCTCAATCAATTAAAAAAAATTAAGAAAAAAAAGAGAGAGAAAGTATGTGGAGGTGCCCTGAGGTGATATGAAGAGGGAAACTGACTCAAAGTTACCTATATATACGTATTACAGTCCTCAGGCCAGGTTAGTCTTCCTAGCCCCAGCAGGGTCCTAGTCTCATCGCTATTTACTTTTGGATCATGACAGCATTTGTCCACGATCGTGCCCTCAACTTATAGTTGAGTATCATGGCACTTTGGCCTGGCCCATTTCGATTCCAGGGTAGCTCACAGCTTGCCCTGGGTCCATTCAGTCCCTCGTTGGGACCCTGCTTTTGGGGTGCTAGGAACTAAGGGCAACTGAGTAAAGAAAGCAGATGCCCAGGAGTAAATATTATTTGGAGTCAATCAACTCCCAAGTTACAAAGCAGAATATTAACTGTTTTCCTGTGTCCATACAGAAAGGACATTGCTTTAAGAACATAACTTACAAGTTCAGTGTTCTTAGAAGGATCTGATCTTACAAGCTAACAGAATCTGATTAGGGAGAAAAGGTGATTAACTGGCTGGGGAGGAAAGCACAGAGAAGAGTTTACAGATAAACAGAGGAATGGGAGTGACTCGGGAGCAATGTGATGGGTGTAACCCAATAAACCTGAGCTCCCTACAGTTACCCTTGTCATAGCCACACGCATTATGGGTGAGACCCTCTGGAATTCTTCAGCCTGTACCAGCCAACTAAGTATACCAGTGACCCCACTGATGCCATGTGGAATAGAAGAATGACCCAGCTTAATACGATCCCTTTTCCTGACCCACAAATAATGACGAGCTATTCTTAAAAGGTTGCTGTTTTAAGGCAGTAAAAAAAAAAAAAATGGCATAAAATCGGCAACAAGTGTGCAATAAAACAGGTATTAGGTAGATGCTGTGCCAGACCCATGACAACCTCTATTTCACTGTCACAATACTTGAGGTAAGTACTATTCTCACCCATTACCTCACCCAATTCCCACTGTGATGAAAACATTGATCCAAAGAGAGAAAATGACTTGTCCACGGCCACAGTGTGAGAGCAGCAAAGCCCAAGCGTGCATCCCACCCACTACTTCCATTTCTGGCCATGGCACTCGCTCTGGGCTTTCCTGGGGGAAACTCTCAGCGCATGGGGAGGAGGTATGCTGGGCTGTCCATGGGCCTCAGATGTCAAACACAAGGATTTGCTTTTTGGAAGGGTCACACATGGGGTACTCAGACTTCAAATCCAGGGGTCCTTATGACAAGCATACACTGTCTCCATGGCCCCCTGGATTCACTTTTTTTTTCCTTCCTTTTTGGGTCACACTGGCAATGCTCAGGGCTTACTCCTGGCTCTGCACTCATGAATCACTCTTGACGGTGCTCGGGGAACCATATGGGATGCTGGGGATTGAACCTGGGAAGGCAAATGCCCTCCGCATTGAACTATCAGTCCTGCCCCAGGATTCACTTTTATCCAAAAGTGGAGGTTCTGGAGCAGGAAAGGACTGTGAACTAAACTGGCTGTTTACCTTGAAAGACAGCAGAACTATCTTTTTGTTTCCCTTCCAGTGTGCCTTAGAGTCTAGTCTCATGCATTCCTTTGAGTAGTTCCTGAATAGCAGATAGGTTTTCAGGGTCAGCGTGCCCAGAGATGAGTCAGATGAGTTCTCTGCCCTGAAATCCTCCAGTATTTATGGGAAGAGACACAAATAGCAAAAGCGCTATGTTCCCTGCAAGCGAGACAGGTGAGCTGAAGTGGGGCTAAAAACTGGACAAGGTTAATTCTGGGAAATAGAATCAGAGACAGCAATTTTCTCACCCTGACATGCATTTGGGCCTTTTATCTTAGTAAATGAACCCTGACTGTATTTTAGGGCTGCCCAATTATCCAGCAGAAAGCAACATTTTCCAGATTCCCTTGAAATTTAGTGATGCCATATACCAAAGTTGTGTCCATTTTGATATAAGTAAACGTATAATGTGATAATGTAGGAGAATTTCCTAAAGAAAGGGGCCAAGTTCTTTTCCATTAGGTCATCTTGGAGTTTCCTGCAACTAGGATCTGATGGCTGACTTCCAGCAGCCATCTTGGACCATGAGGACAAGGTGATGGTGGACTAAGAGTTGGCGGATGCCTGAGTCTCTGTGGGAAGCTGCCATAAAAACCCTAGAAACCTATTTCTGGACTTTGTTATGTCTACATAGAATATTTTGTATACCTAAGCCACTCTTAGGGGCTAGGTCAACCCCTAATATCAACCCTCCTGGAATATCAAATCGCACATGTTCAATTCTGTCTTCAGTAGTTTCCACCCTGTGTTTTCTCCGTCTCAGTAAATGTCACATCCACCCACCTAGTGGCTCAGGCCCCAAACCTGGAAGTTGTCCAAATTCTCCTCCCTTCCCTCATCTCCGACCTCCATTTCATCAGCAAGATCTAGCCATTCTACCCCCACAACAGATGCCAAATCCATTCGCTCTGTCGGCCTCTCTTGCCAGCACCTCGTCCAACTACATAACCTATGACCTGGATCCTTTTAGAGTTTCTTCATTTCCTTGCTTGCCACCCCCAGCCGCCCCAGGTCACCCTCTACACAGCAGCCTGATGGGTTTTTAAAAACAGTAAAATCACAGGCCAGGAGATAATACAGAGGTTAGATTGGGGCTGGAGCGACGGTGTACAGTGGGTAAGGTGCCCGCCTTGCACGCAGCCAACCCAGGTTGAATCCCTGGTATCTCACATGGTCCCCCAAGCACCTCTAGGAGTGATTCCTGAGGTGCTTCATGACTTCATGACTCCATCTCAGAGTCAGAAGTAACCCCTGAGCATCACCACGTGTGGCCCACAAACCAAAAATAAATAAATAAATACATAAATAAATAAAATAAAAAACAGTAGTTAGACTGACTGCCTACCATGCACCTGACCAGATTAGATTCCTGGCACCACCTGGTCCCCTGAGCATCACCAGCTACATCCCTGGAAGACCTCCAGCACCATCAGGGTGGCCCAAGTATCCTCTGCATTGAGACCCCATGCAGGGTCACATTCTTGGGTTCCTGCAATGACCCTGCTGGCCCGATAGGCTAAGACTCA